AGAGAGACCAACACATAGCAGAACGCAAGGCACCCACCTCCTTCCTTAAGAATTTTCGTTGACTACAGGCCGGATTGGTTTGGAAAAGGTTGGTTCTACTTTCTTTGAAGAATTTTCATTGACAGCAGGCCGGATTGGTTTGGTTAGGTAGTTGGAGAAAAGGCTGATTATGGCCCACTTGCCGGTCAATGTAGAGTGTTGGTGTTAAGTGGTCTGCGAACTGCGGGTCGTCTCTGCCTTTGTTCCCTTTCGTTATAATGCTTCTACTGATCGTTTCTTAATGTCCTCTCTTTTATTTGGAAAAGTCGGCTCCACTTGGGCCATCCGGAATCTCTACGGGCCTCAAAACTCAATTTTCATTGGCCAATATATGAAAAAAAGCCTTTCTAAATTTCACTTTTGGCGGCTATTCCTGATCCGAAAAGGGTCATAAATTTTACAAAGAAAATCAAAGTTTGTCAAATGATTTTGGCAACAATTTTGGCAACAAATCTTGATCCGAAATGGTCATAAAATTGCACAGTTTTTTCTTTTTACACACACACACACACCGTCCGGCTTACAAAAAAATACACCTTCCTCAAAAGACGTGTAAATAAACAAAAAAACAACACCTAGACGGTCTTACATTTAAATTGACTTTTTTTTAAAAATTCTTTCTTTAAATAAAAAAAATAAAATTTTTATAAATCCGCTTGTTTTGCAACGTAAATTTCAATGATTTTCAAACCTTTGTACAACACAAAATATTTAACGTGCAAAAAATGAAAATTATCGGCAGTTTTCCTTTCCCCTGATATTGTTAGCACTTTTTTTTCCAATTATGCACTTGATCAAAACATTCTTAAATCTAGTGTTAGTTGTCATTTACTTCATGCAATCCCTCCTTCTCAATAAAAATCTATTCCTCCTCTCGTTATGAAAAATATCTTCATTTTCGGTTATCTGTCACTTCGTCACTCGAATGTATTACCAAATCTTTTCCTTTTCTTGCTATGAAAAAGTCCTCATTTTCTGTTGGGTGTGTACTCAAAGTTACGTTCTGTCAAACTTACTTGAATTTTGAGGGCCTTGTTGGATTTACTAAAAAAAAAACCTGTCAGACTTACCATTTGTCAAAGTTACGCAAAATTTTTTAGAAAAAAAATCATGCCATTCTTCAAAAAAGCAACGAATGATCGAAAAAAGCCAACTATACTGACAATTGAACAAAAAGCAGAGATAGTGGACTATAAAAACAAACATCCGGGGGAAAAGGCGGCTAAAATCGCCCTGTTTTTCTCTAAAAAGTTCAAAGTTAAGATTGACGGAAGATCTGTCCAAAATTATATAAATTCTAAGAGTAAAATCAAAAGTGAGAGTCATACATTGCCAAAAAATAAATCGAACAGGCCCGTAAAATATAAAATTATTGATGACGCTTTATCAAGTTATATTTCGCGAATAAACTCAAAAGGGGGTTTTATTGATGATTTTACAATAATCACACAATCAAAGAAGATTGCACAAGATAATGGAATAGAAGATTTTAAAGCCTCAAATGGTTGGCTCCAGAGCTTTAAAAAAAGGCACAAACTGTCTCTCAAACCTCTACATGGAGAAACATACTGTGAGGAACCAAAAAACCACGATGAATTTCTTAGCCAAATTGACGAAAAAATCCGCATCTATGGTGAGGAAAATTTCTTTAATATGGATGAAACCGGATTATTTTATAAATTGATTCCATCTAAATCAGTTTGCCAAACAGCACGAAGAGGATATAAAAATTTTAAAGATAGAGTTTCCATAATGCTCTGTTCGAATATGACAGGATCCATCAAACATAAGCCGATGCTGATCGGTAAAACTAAGAAACCAAGATGTTTTAAAAATTTTACAGGGATAAACTTAGTAAATTATGTTTGTTCAAAAAGAGCGTGGATGACGTCTACTATTTTTTCTGATTGGCTAGATCAATGGAATCAAGATCTTGTTCGTTTCAACAGAAAAGTTGTACTTTTGCTTGACAATTGTCCAGCTCATAAATCTCTAAAAAATTATTCTAATATTGAGCTTGTTTTTCTCCCAAGAAATAGTACTGGTGACTTACAACCTATGGATATAGGAATTATTAAGTCCTTCAAAAGCCATTTCAATCGAATTAAATTTGATAAAATCCTGGAAATGATTGAAGGTGATGATAGTGTTTATGAGAGCTATAAAAAAATAAATCTTGCTGATGTGATCACTTTTACGGATATGGCATGGGAAAAAGTGAGTAAAAAAGTGATAAAGAATTGTTTTAAACACCTCAAGGGAGAAAAAAATACTGACACCGATTTTAATGTCAATATCGACGAAGAACACCTCGAAGACTACTCAAATTACGCAAGGTTTATCGAAAAAGGGAAAATATTAGATGGGTTAGATTTAAAGGGCTTCAATTCAATAGAGTACACCGAAAACGATGAAATTGAAGAGGAAGTTTATGAGATAGAAAACTCGAAAAATATCGACAATATTGGGAGTAATGAGTCAGAAGAAGAGATTAAAGAAACTAAAACACCTATAATAACACACAAAAAGTCTTTAGAAGTTATAGAAGAACTTTTATTATACATTTCCCAGCGTGAAATGACACCGGATGACTATAGTTTATATAAATCATTAATCAAGAAGAAAGCAAGTATTAAGAAAGAAAAAGTTGTCCGAGTACAGAAAACTTTATTTGATTTGGATTTTAAGCGTGTCTAGGGGTTATTAGGTGAAATTTTTCTCTGTCAAACTTACCAATACTGTCAAACTTACCAACTTTTTGTGGTCCCAAAATAGAGATTTGTCAATGCGGAGTCTTCTCTTTTCTTACTTCCCTGTAGCACGAAGTTATTTAGTATTAAGTTCTAATGTTGAGTTTATTACAAAATAACTGCTTCATTTTACGTTTTGATTTTGATTTTTTGCAGAGTAGTTTCAAAGATTTTTTTAACCAATTGGTCTGATGTATCTTTCTTATCATTTATCTTTATATTAATGCAAATAATGTGTTTGATTTGGTTCTTACTAATTTTCCTTGATATTGTCCGGATCATGTCACGTACATTTTTTGTTTTTGTGTTCAAGTTTATTCTTTCTACATACTTTATCCATGTATTTCGTTTGAATTCTTTAATAATTTGTGATACTTTAGCTGTTTTTATATATGTTCAAATTTCCTTGGGTTACTCTTGAATTTTCTCAGGTCTGCATGGTGTGCTCTTAATGATGTATTTGCATCCATGGCTTGCTGGATTTTGCAGAGGCTAATCATTTTATAGAACATTTTCTCCGGTTACGGAGGAGAGTATTGATAAAATATATCATGTTTTCCCCATTGCTTCTAAATTTAGCCTGAATTGATTATAATTTTTTTAATTCTTCCCAGTTACCATTAGAGATTCAGGTTATGATATTTTTTATATGTTTGGTTTAACAGTACCTCTGTGGTTCTGTACTTTTGTTGGTTTCCTTACTGCCATCAGAATGAAAGGTTTCGGTAATTGCTGAATTAAGTTGTTGAGCTCTGTTTCATTCTGTCCTTTGGTGGCATGTATGGTTGTATAAGGTTCTAGATATTGCAACATCATGCATATATGTTTTTATGTTTACTTCCTTGTGAAGAATGTTTTTATTAAGTATTATTGATAATCCGCCCGTGGCCCTATCAGATTGTTTACTTATGTGATTGTATGGCATGTAGAATTTCTTTTCAGGTAGATTTCTTACAGACATATTATTTCTGGGCAGTAAGTTGTAAAGAAGGGTAATATTTCATGAAGTTTAACTTTCATAAATCTTATGTTCCATCCAGGAAAAAGAAGGAGAAAAACATTTCTCCTGTAGGGAGACCACAGTTTTTTCCCCTTTGCCATGAGAGTTGTGGCCCCTTTTAGTGAGTAGAACACTTCTCCCTTTTTTGTCTTTACTTCCGTTCTGGAAGGAACGATCTCTTTGCCTTCCTGACCACCAGGGTGTCCACACACGTGGAAACTGGTCAACATGTGTACGGCCTAGCGAAACAAAATCATTCACTTATCTGGGGACGACCAAAGGCCATGAAATTGGTATGTTATTTCTTTGTTCTAATTCTGTTTAACCTCCTCGTTCCTTTGGGACAATATGGACAATTATTTGTTTTGGGACATGTATAAATCTTGTGTATATATGTACGAAGGCTGCTTGCCATATTAAATGTTTTGTTGGTTACGCTCGCGTATTTCGTCTTTTTATATTCGCACTCAGTGTTAGTGTATCAATGGCTAATATTAGTATCGGTGTGCTACTGGAAGGCTAGAACGCCTTATTCTACCTAACACAGAATAGTCAGTAAACTCTGTGTGGCAGATACACCCCATATACTAATAAGTGGTGATTCCGACGTGGCAGTATATTTTTGCAATTTGCAAAATAACTGTTAATGTTAACTTCGTGTGTTAGAGAGTGTTTTTTCTTTCGACACAAATAATTTGCGATATAGGAATGACGACTTGTATAACATGGCAACATGGCTTCCCTCTCCCTCGTGTGCTTCTTCTCCCATCCTGTATTTGAATTTGGCGCCGGCCTGCAACATGAGACTGCCTCACCCTTGGAGGCACACTTACTGCTAGAGTTCACAACACCCAATAGTAGTAATAGCAGTGATAGCCATTTCTGACTTTTTGTTTAAAATATTTAGGGTCGTTTGTTTGTGTTTTTTTTTCTTTCTCTGTGGTACTTCGCATTGTGAGGCATACTTCTGTGTGGTAACTATCCCCATAAAGAATATACGATATGGATGAGGAAAAAACGGCCGCTGTGTCGGCGGTGAACACTGTCAGCCTAGCCTACTTTAAAGTGGACCCAGCTTTATTTTTCGCACAGTTAGAGTCGGAGTGCGAACTGAGAGGAATTACCTCCCAGAAAACAAAATTTAATTTAGCGGTCTCCAAGTTGCCTCTCGAAGCTGTCCAGGAGGTGAGAGAAATTATTATCTCTCCGCCGAAAGATAAGCCATATTACAAGTTAAAAGAGGAACTTGTTCGGAGGACGTCTATGTCACGGCAAAAGAAATTGTCGCATCTTTTGCATGAGGAACAATTGGGAGACAGCAAGCCGTCGCAATTTTTACGTCGTTTGCAGCATCTAGCCGGAGAAAGTAATGAGGATGGCATTATACGTCATATTTTTCTCCAGCGTTTGCCCTCTGCGTATCACGCTGTTTTAGCCGCGGTGGGTGAAGATGCACCCGTCGAAAAGCTGGCTGAAATAGCAGATAATATAGCTGACCTAACTTCGGGATGCACTGCTCCCGTTTCTGCCGTACAGACACAAGAGCCAGATCCGCTGGCTAAACTTTTGGAGGGACAACGAAGGTTAGAGGCTAAGATGGAAGACTTAGAGAGACGGTTGCAGAAGGTTAGCATTCTCCGCTCCCAAAGTACAGGTCGTGTAAGAACTGTTAGCAAGGAGCCAATGTGCTACTTACACAGGAAATTATTGCAAAACCCCCACCCCCCGTTCCTTCAATTCGCAACAGGGAAAAGCCTAGGCTGGCGACCGGTGGCGACCCGGTGCGCCGGCGTGGGAGAGGTTTGTCGCTTACTATTTGTTTCGGACCGCACTACTGGTATACGTTTTCTCGTGGACAGTGGTGCGCAAATATCTTTAATTCCTGCCACTAGGGCAGACAAGTTAAAAGGCTCTCACAAACTTACCTTGCAGGTCGTGAATAAGTCGTTCATCCAGACTTATGGTCAGAGGTGCCTTACATTGAATTTGGGTCTGAGACGGGTTTTCACCCATTTCTTTGTCCTTGCGGATGTAAAGAAGGCCATATTGTGTGCAGATTTTTTACACAAATTTGGTCTTCTCATTGATGTTCACAGACGTTGTCTGACAGACCCTAAGACAAATACTCATTCGCCGAGAGCCATTCATAATGTAATTCCATTATGTCCTACTGTGGCTAACACAGAAGATAATCCTATGTTCTGTGAACTCCTAAAAAAGTTTGAGAGCATTACCAAACCGGCTTTTCACAAAGATAGGTTACCCCACAATATAACACACCGCATTGCTATAGCGGTCCTCCTGTTCACAGCCGTCCTCGTCGTCTGGCACCGGAAAAATTGAGTGTGGCGAAAGCGGAATTTACCCAAATGATGGAACTTGGTATTATCCGGCCATCAAAGAGTAACTGGGCATCTCCTTTGCACCTGGTACCCAAAAGTGGTGGTACCTGACGCTCTTGTGGTGATTATAGGGCACTCAACTCTACCACTAAACCGGACCGTTATCCCATTCCACATATACATGATGTAACGGCCATCATTTAGGATAGGTGGATATTTACTAAATTAGACCTTATCAGGGTCTACCATCAAATTCCGGTAGAACCCGAACACATTCCAAAGACTGCCATAACAACACCATTTGGGTTGTTTGAGTTTCTGCGTGTGCCATTTGGACTAAGAAACGCAGCACAGTCTTTTCAGAGATTTATTGACCATGCACGGTCTGCATTTTGTCTGTGCCTATGTGGATGATGTACTTATAGCCAGTTCTTCCATGGAAGAACATATTAAACATTTACAGATCGTTTTCGAGCATTTTGAGAAATTTGGGGTTGTTATCAACACAGTAAAGTGTGAGTTTGGAAAGTCTGAAGTTATTTTCCTAGATCACCGCATTAATTCAGCTGGAGTTTCACCTTCTCCATCTAAAGTGGCGGCCATTTCTGACTTTCCCTTGCCAGATACCATGAGAAAGTTGCGACAGTTTTTAGGGATGGTACCTTTTTTTCGAAGGTTCCTGCCAAATTGTGCGCAGGTTATAAAACCTTTGACAGATATTCTAACTGATGTCAAAAATTGTGACATAGTTTTGTCTGATGAAGCCTTGGCAGCCTTCCATCAAATTAAGGTTTTATTGTCCCGAGCAGTTGAACTGTCACATGTTGTCCCAGGTAGCGAGTTGTGTTTGGCAGTTGACGCCTCTTCGATTGGTGTGGGAGCAGTACTTCTGCAGAAGATCAATGACAGCTGGAAACCAATTTCCTTCTTTTCCAAGAAACTAACTTCTACGGAATCCAGGTACAGCACATTTGGACGTGAACTTCTCGCAGCTTATTCAGCTGTCCGTTACTTTCGATATTTGTTGGAAGGGCGGACTTTCTACTTACTGACAGACCACAAGCCCTTGTTGGGGACTTTTCAGTCAAACTCTGACAAGTATTCCCCACGTGAAACCAGACACTTGGATTATCTGTTACAATTCATTTCAGATATCCGTTTCGTCAAGGGAACGGACAACATACCTGCAGACACTATGTCTCGTGGCATAAATGCTTTTGTGCTGGACCCGTGCTTGGAACATCAATCATTTGTGGAAGCACAGGAAAAGGAACAGCAGCTACAGAATCTGCTACGAGAGAACCACACATCCTTGACGTTGTCGAAAATACATATTCCAAACACAGAATTGTATGTGACACCAGCACCGGACGATTGCGCCCCTTCGTGCCTGAGTCAATGCGGAAGACGTTATTCTCCTCCATGCACAATTTGTCCCACACAGGAGCTAATGCCTCAATACGGCTGATCACAGACAGATTTGTTTGGCCACACATGAAAACTGACATTCGGCAATGGTCAAAGACATGTGTGCCGTGTCAGAGGGCCAAAGTGGGGAGACATACCCGTTCACCTCCTGGTTCCTTTCCATCACCCGACGAGCGGTTTGCACATGTTCACGTGGACATCACAGGACCACTCCCTTCATGTGAGGGAAAGACATATCTATTGACATGTGTTGATCGTTTCTCCCGTTGGTGTGAGGCTCTTCCCATGTCGGACATTACGGCACATTCCACTGCAAAGACTTTTGTTTCCGGATGGGTTTTCCCGTTTTGGGGTCCCTGCTTTAATTACTACAGACAGAGGGCGGCAATTCGAGTCAGACCTGTTCAACCAACTGATGAGGATCTTGGGGAATAAAAGAGTCAAAACCACCGCTTATCATCCCGAGGCTAATGGCTTAGTGGAACGGTTTCATCGTATACTTAAATCGTGACGGATCAGGCAAATTGGCTGGAGCATCTACCGTTGGTTCTTCTGGAACTCCGCACTGCAGTTAAAGACGATCTTAAGTGTTCTTCTGCTGAGACTCGTTCGTTGATCGGCTTACCGTGAGCATGGCGAATTTGGCATATAAGTCTTCTGCGCAGGTTCAAAGGCAGATATATGTGCCTAAACTACTGCAGACATGCACACAAGTTTTTGTGCGGGACTTGGCTAAGTCCCACACATTGCAGCCAGCCTACAGAGGACCCTTCAAAGTCCTAGAGAGACATTCGAAGTATTTTATGGTGAGCATTAACAATGCAATACAAAGCATTACTGTTGACAGATTAAAGCCTGCCTTTTTGGACACTACCTGGCTCAGCATGGACACTTCAGTGACTACTCCATCACCAGTAGCACCGGGGGTAGTGAAACAGACTGTGACCAGATCTGGCCGTCGTGTTAGGTGGCCCAAACATTTATTGACATAAATCATTTTCAGGTTTTGGGTTCAGCAGAACTATAACTGGAGGATATTCTTCCTTCCACATTGAACTCTTCCTTTTTCATTATGTTTCTTTAAATTTGTAATACATGTTGGGAAGTTTTGTTTTTGTTAGAATTTAGTTGTATCTCTAGTGCAGGTTAATGAACCTGTCTAGGGAGGGAGTACTTGTAGGGAGACCACAGTTGTTTTCCCTTTGCTTTAGCCCATGAGAGTTGTGGCCCCTTTTAGTGAGTAGAACACTTCTCCCTTTTTTGTCTTTACTTCCGTTTTGGAAGGAACGATCTCTTTGCCTTCCTGACCACCAGGGTGTCCACACACGTGAAAACTGGTCAACATGTGTACGGCCAAGTGAAACAAAATCATTCACTTATCTGGGGACGACCAAAGGCCATGAAATTGGTATGTTATTTCTTTGTTCTAATTCTGTTTAACCTCCTCGTTCCTTTGGGACAATATGGACAATTATTTGTTTTGGGACATGTATAAATCTTGTGTATATATGTACGAAGGCTGCTTGCCATATTAAATGTTTTGTTGGTTACGCTCGCGTATTTCGTCTTTTTATATTCGCACTCAGTGTTAGTGTATCAATGGCTACGCTAATGCTAATATTAGTATCGGTGTGCTACTGGAAGGCTAGAACGCGTTATTCTACCTAATACAGAATAGTTAGTAAATTCTGTGTGTCAGATACACCCCATATACTAATACTCCAAATACGATGACATTTGTAAAGTTCATACAAGAGAACGAAAAAGAAGGTTCCCTTGGGTCGCCTTTTTAAGATCTATTCAGTTGATGGAAAGTCTGTGCAGGATCCCAGAAACTTCCCTCGGGCCCCGGGAGTGATTTCCTGTTTTGGGGATACGAGGAACTATCTAAGAGTTTGGTATTTGAGGCTAAAGAAGCCGTTCCAGAACTATGCATGGGCACTCCTTATCTGAAAAAAAAATTGAAAGATTTTGTGCAGGGAGAATTACAGTGTTGCTCCACCCCTCTTTATATAGGGCGTTAAAGCTAACATATCCTATGGACGTTGGCGGTATTGGACGGATGGCGTCGAAGATGGGTGCCTAGGACAATCCGTCGGGGTCCTTACCCCGGCAGATTTCCGCCCAATATGTGAATAGGATGATTGTTGTTTTTTCTTTCAGATTTAAAAATGTCTATCAAGATAGCCAGCCTGAATGCCAATGGCTTGAGGGATCGGAGTAAATCTGCACCGCCTGCTTCGTGACCTCTTATCGTTCGGTGTAGATGTCGCCGTGATCCAGGAAACTTACTTTGTTTACAACGTTGATGTTTGTGTGCTGTCTAACGACTTTGTCGTCTATTCAGCATATTGGGACCGACTGGCCACAGGTGTTTCTTGGCTGTTTAAACGTACCCTGGGTGCGAGGGAGGACCTTATCAATGCTGTGAAAAGTACTTCGTTGGGACCTGAACAGACGTGCTTTGAAGGGCTGAACCATTCAACGCAACCTGCATCTGATCCGCACGATCATAGAGGGTGTAAAGGCGACGATTAAACCGCGCTAATCAATTTGGATCAGTCCAAGGCATTTGATAGGGTCAACCATCGCTACCTGGCTGCTGTCCTGCAGGCCGCCGGATTCAACCCCGACTTCTGCCGGTGGATTAGTTCCTGTATCTCTCCCCCAGTGCTGTGGTACAGGTGAACGGAAAGCGGTCGCGCGCTTTTGCGCTTGGACAGTCGGTTCGTCAGGGTTGCCCACTGTTACCCCTATATTACGCTTTAACTTTGACACTTCTTCTTCGCCGACTGAGGGACAGGGCGTGCATTCCGGCTCCACCTGGCATCGCTGTCCCTTGTGAGGCTCCAGGCAGTGTTTCCGCGTACGCCAATGAAGTATCTACTTTCGCGTGGACGACGGTACTGTCCGCATTCCCGAAGTGTGGTTTGGAAGTACAGGCAAAGGTCTGCTTGACTCTGCTGGCGTTAAAATTGATTGTCTATCTGTTGATACTTGGTTGGAAGGTCTAGCACAAGTCTACCACCAAGAAAGATGACAAGATCTGGATGGAATCATGAAGTGGTCTCAAATGATAGCAAAACAAAATGACACATATGTGGTTGAATAGATCTATGTACAAATATCTAAATATTGTCTTTGAAATTCAGTTAAAAATGCAACAATTTTTTTATTTCGACCCAATTTTTTTGTTTGGCAGATAATCAAGACAAAGGACATGACTCATAATTCCCTTTTTTTTCAAAATTACCTCTCTCCTTATATATGATTTTGTGAAACAATTGTAACTTCCTCTACATTACCATTATTTTATTATTTTTTCAATTGGGCAAGTGAACAGTTATTTCTTCTTTTTCTTAAAGTGAACCACGTCTCGGAAAATACAAATATAGCGTGGGTTAATGACATTTTTATGTTCAAGAGACAAGAAACAAGATTTTAAATAAACTAACTCCGTTATAAAGAGACTGTGGCTGACTTCACATTAATTTAACTTCGATAAGTAACAGGACAAGAAGAATAACCACAAGACATTGTTACACATAAAATATGTATATTAACAAGATGTACAATATCAAATAACGATGTGAAATAAAACATGCATTTAAGTAAGAAAGGTTTGAATTATTCAAGAGTTGCCTCTCTTTGCTTAAAATTTAAGAGTTTAGTGAGAGATAATTATTTATATTATTCTACAAAGTTCATGAGTGCTTGTGTGCGAACGTAAAGAGTTTGTATTTTGGTGAAGTGTACAAATTATCATCGGCATGTGGGTGTGCGCGTGGTTGCAACTGTCGTGGATTCGTTTAGCAGTTGAGGTCTCACTATATTTATTGTACGTAAACTGGACAAATGCGGCACAAGGCCAAAAGTGGGGGGATGAGGAAAATAACGGTCATCAACTGTCTTAAGATTAAACTGAGCTAGTTACAATCACTGAACCAGGCATACAAACAATATTCCTTTCACCAAAACAACGCAGTTTTACTTACCATTCTTACCTCAACCACCAGAAACCTCAGAAACTCCTAAACTAGTCCCCACATTTACAATTCATAGTTTGTGGAGGGGTAATAAAAATAACAATTTAAAAATCTAAAAAAAACTCAATGATTATTTACATATATGTACAAAACTATATACAAGAAACTAAACAAAAATTTTGTTAGTAGTAAACCCCCCACAGCCCTAACTGTGGCAGGAACATCAGTTAAATGGACGAAATCAATGCGAGACTTTAGAAAACTAAAACATTCGTACAAGCCATGCACTCACTACAAACACACACTCATTCAAACACAACAACAAATACGAAGGACACATTCGAAACGAAAGGCGCCCTGCACCCACCAGAGAACTGATATCACTAACCACCTAACGATGGGAGGGATGGGGAATTAAACAAAAGAAAGAAAAATAGGGCCAGAAATAAGAGGGGCCAATGAGCATACATACCCAAGCTAAGTTAACATGAAAAAGGAGAAAAAAAAACTAAAACAAAAACAGACCTAAACTAATCTCTACATGGGAATCTCTAATCCTGCCAATGTTCAAACCAGCAATCCCAAAATTCTTAATGCCTAACCGGCATCAAAATGCCACTCCAAGTCAGCACCTTTCACTCGGCAGAGACGCGCAAGACTTTCGCCAAATTCCAATGGATGGAGTCGTTTCCTTTCCGTCCTGATCTTGACTTTAAGCTGATACTTAAAGAACAAGATCAGTTGGGAAGAGGTAAACTTCTCGCGCCCATGAAATTCCTCCTGTCGCGTCGTCCATATCACGACTCGCATAACCCCCAGTAAGCAAGGGAACACATAGTGCTCAGCCTTAGTCAACACGGTACTATATTGCTACAGACGGAACTCCACCCGAGGACAAAAAACTTTCCGCGCAGCATGCGAACCATGATGTCTTCAACAAACTTGCACAATGGAACTACGACACTACACTGAAAAAAGGCGTGACCCAGGGTCTACACCTCCCCACTGCAGCGAACGCAGTTTGGTGACTTTACCAAACTCGCCGCACAAAGTCTTTTGGTGACCCAGAGTGCCCCTCGAATCACCAGCCAGGTAAGGGATGCCTCAGTGTTCGTGAGACATTTGCAGCGAGCCTCCCGCTTCGTCAGACCGAGCTCGCCTATCAAGGCATCCTGAACGTTCCCACTAACTAACACCTGATATAATGCCTTACGGGACGTCGGAGAGGCCATCTTTCGTAAGAGTCGCTTGAGGGCAAGCCGACATTCACGATAGAAAGAGTCCTCGCCTCGAGGCGTACGTCCGGCCTCTTCCTCACACGAGCGCACATTTCTCAAGGATAGAATATTTTTATTCCTTCCAGAATTCGCCGTTCTCATCCGGTCTAGATAAGTAATCCGAAGCGTATGTCGACGAGTTTCAACGCAAGGCACTCCCAGACCGTCAACA